CAACCAAAAGTTACAGCTATTGAGGAGGCTCAAGATGTTGACAACCTCAAGCTGGATCAGTTGGTTGGAAATTTCCAAACTTATGAGGCACATAGGAATTTCAAAAAGAAACAAAAAAAAAATGATATTGCCTTTAGTAGTGCTTATAGAGTTGGAAAGGATTTTGATGAGGATTGTGAGATGGATTCTAAGATTACGGATGCTTTTGTAAAACAATTTAAAAAGTCTTTTCCGAAAAAGAATTCTAATCTTTTGAAATCAACTCATAAATCCAAAGGCAAAGATAAACTCAAAATTAATTCTATAGCCAAGAAGGAGAAAGGAAAGATACAAGGCAACTCTGAAAGAGCCACATGCTATGAATGCCAAGGATTTGGCCTTTGGTTCAGAATGCCCCCACTTCCATTGAAAAGAGAAAGCCCCTCGCGCATCACTTGGGATGATGATCAGACATCATGATGAAGAGAAAGTGACAACACGAAATATCAGTGGCGAATGGGGACATAAATCAATTTTCTTTCATCGGCTGCTTCCGAAACTGAAGGACGAATTAGTAGTATCGAAGAGCCCTGGTTTAGAATGCCACTGATGATGAATGCCTCTGGGAAGTGATGAAATGAAGAGCTTGAGCAAGCTTATGAAAAGTTAATAAGGAATCTCTTACAGTTACTTCCAAAATTGAATGACCAAACTCACTATGAACAACTCACGCATGTAAAAGTAAAAAATGTCAATACTAAAGGCAGGAAGCATTTCCGAGGTCTAGGATTGATTCCAATCAACATAGCTAATGATCGACAAGCTCTTTTGCTTGCAAACTCTGTACTTGTGAGACAGAGAGGAGTGAACTAACAACAAATCTATGCACATATGAAGAAAAAACTGAAAACTCTCGAGATGTCTCAAGTTGCTTTGGAAGAACTAATGATTCAAAGAAAGAGGAAGAACTCAGTGTGCCATGGTTACCATTGGTCTTTGGAACAAAGGATCAAAGACTTTGGACAATATCATTAGGTCTCAACAAATTTGTTCTGACAAAAGTAGCATTGGGTTTGGTGATAAGAAAGAGCAAAAACAGAGTGCATCTACATCTCATGATACAAGAACTCAAGGAAAGGGAGAACAAAAAATTCATCATAAGGATGGACTTCTCAAACTTCCTAGAGTTGGTAAGGTCAAAGAAAAGAAGGTACACCCTGTACACCCTGTTTTTATTTGTCATCATTGTGGTATGCATGGTCATATTCGTCCTTATTGTTATAAGTTGCATGGGAGAGTGTATTTGCCTAGACCTAAAAATAGGATGTTGGAAACCAAGTCGAGACGGGATCCCATTGAAAGCAAAGGGAACCACAACGTCAAGACACCATCCAAGAACCACAATGCTCACAACTTTGTTTATACTAAAGCGGTTTGGATGAGAAAATGTGACTTCTGTTAATTTGTTTATTTGTTTTAGCTTTTGGGTTTTTGTGTGTTGTTTTTAATGAAAAAAAAAAAATGAGTGCTTGTTCGTTTTTTGTCTTGCTTTGGTTAAGAAAAAAAATAAAAAAGCCCAAAAAGATTTTCTTAGTATGGTTTTGCAAGCTTGAAATTTTTGAGTGGTCCTTGGTGCATATTGGAATTGATGAGAATATCCATTACATGTTAATATATGTGTGCTTTCTGTGGTCATTACTCATTTTGGAGTGCGTGTTTTTTTTATTAGTATGTCTCATTTTGTACACATTCTTGGATTATCAAATTTTGGAGTCTTCCGCCTTAGTGATTTTTTTTCTCTATGGACTTCTGTCATTGATCTTTTGCGTTTCTAGAGGAATTGACCTATAGTGGCATATCATGGGTGATGTTGAGTCTCTTAGCCACCTACCATCTTTTTGCATCTCCATGGCTTTCCCCTCTATTCTTTATAGTCCAGCCATAAGGAAAAGGCTACCTTAGAGTCACCAACCAGGCCATCCTTATTATATCCATGCTTCTCTGGTTCGGTTTCCATACTCTTGAGCGTGTCAACCGCCAATGAGTGTGCAAAAGAAAAAGAAAAAGAAAAAGAAAAAGAAAGAGAAGAAGAAAAAATATGGAAAAAAAAAATTGCAAAAGAAAGAAAAAAAAAAAGAACAAAAGATTCATTGATTAAGGGGGAGCCTCCGCCTTTACTCACCAAATACCCCTTGATTCCTAGTGGTTTGACTTTCCGTAGTTGTGCTTAGATTGTGTGCACGGGTGTGTGTATTAAAGTTCACTATCTTCTCAATAGAAGAAAAAAAAATGTAGCTATCTAATTGTTGATAAAAAATTAGAAGGAAAAAAAATAGAAAAAGAAAAATTAAGCTTTGGTTTATATACTTCTTGTTGTTCAAAAAGATTGAAGCAAATATATGGTTCCAAAATACAACAAACACAAGCAAAGAAATAAAGTGGCACACCCGCCAGTGCCCTGCTTTCAATTAAAAGAGAGCAAATACTAGCAAACAAATAAATTGACACACCCGCCAGTGCCCTACTATCAATTAAAAGAAAGCAAATAAATAACTTGGCACACCCGCCAGTGCCCTGCTATAAATTAAAAGAAAGCAAAGAAATAAAGTGGCACACCCACTAGTGCCCTACTATCAATTAAAAGAAAGCAAAGAAATAAAGTGGCACACCCACCAGTGCCCTGCTATCAATTAAAAGAAATAAAATACTACCAAATAAATAAATTGGCACACCCGCTAGTGCCCTGATATCAATTAGAAAGCAAAGGAACGCACAGTGATGCTAGTTGAGTCCATCCCCTATCTCCTCCCAAACAATATGCATATGCAATGCTCAATCAATACATGTATTTTCTGTATTAATTCAATAGTCTAAATTTATGACTTAAACAAATTGATTAGTTTCAATTTTCCCTAATCCACATGCAATGTCTACAACAAACACGACTATCCTCCACCGATAGCCCAAAACAGTTATTTCTAGACTGGAAATAAATATATCAACAATTCAATAGGCGAGTGATTTTAATTATCCAACTACACAATTTAATCAATAAATTCCTCAATTTCATGCATTTAACCAATTTTCCCAATTTCCTTAAATTAATTAAACAAATTAATTTATTAATACAACTAGGATTTTTCCCAAAATTACCAAAGTACTCCCAACATACCAAAATACCAAAACTTAGAACAAAACTTATAGGATGGAGTAGGAAATCCCTACCTCGAAGAAAATAACCCGAATAGAGAAGACAGAGATGAAGACCCCAAATTCCAATGTGCTCCAAACCACCAAACGTTCAGATTAAATGGAAGCCCTCGACTCACTCTATCTTTTTAACAAAGAACTTAGGGTAGAAATACACTCTAAGTAGATCAAACCTAAGAGAGAAGGTGTGTAGGGAGAGGGAGAAGACGGTTCTAGGGTTTTAGAATAAAAAAGGAGATGAAAAATGATCCAGAAAGTCGGGTCTCGGATTTATGTAGTCGACTCCCCGCTCGAGCGGGAAAATCCCCGCTCGAGCGTCAGACACAGACTCACGCTTGAGCGTGAAAAGAGCCGCTCGAGCGTCGATTGCACACTTCCAGAAGTTTTGCAGGCGATGGTATCCGCTCGAGCGTCAAACTCCCCGCTCGAGCGGAGAAGCAACAACGAAGAGCCCGCTCGAGCGTTAAAACTTACGCTCGAGCGTGAAGGCCAAAATCTGGGCATCACCTTTTGGTTTCAAAGTGCAACCAACCTGTTTCAAGTCTGCCCATCACAACCCAAAACTCAAATACAAAGAGTAAAGGCTAGAAGTAGTAATGATACAAAAACAAGTCCATGGAACCAAGTCTAGAATACAGTATACAAAGGAAGGAAAAACCGGGATCGCTATAGTAATGGTTATGAGTGGTTATGAGATATGTGGGTAATGGTTATGAGCAAAGTGGTGTCAAAGGGTATTTGGTTATGCTGCATGTGTTAGTGGTTATGAGATATGTGGGTAATAGTTATGAGTGGTTATGAGTTATGTGAGTAATGGTTATGAGCAAAGTGGTGTCAAAGGGTATTTGGTTATGCTATACGTGTTAGTAGTTATGAGATATGTGGGTAATGGTTATGAGTAAAGTGGTGTCAAAGGGTATTTGGTTATGCTATATGTGTTAGTGGTTATGAGATATGTGGGTAATGGTTATGAGCAAAGTGGTGTCAGAGGGTGTGGTTATGCTATATGTATTAATGGTTATGAGTTATGAGATATTGGTTATGCGACTAGTGGTTGTGAGATATGTGATGTTGGTTATTAGATATGTGACTAGTAGTTATGAGATATGTGATGTTGGTTATGATCAAAGTGATGTGGTTATGAGCAAAAAGGTGTTAATTATAAGATATGTGATTAGCGGTTATGAAATATGTGATATTGGTTATGACAAAAAGGTGTTGGTTACGAGATATGTAACTAGTGGTTATGAGATATGTGATGTTGGTTATGACTCAAAGGGATTGGTTATGAGATGTGGTTATGAGGTATGTGATCAATAGTTATGAGATATGTGATATTTGTTATGATCAAAGTGGTGTTGGTTATGAGATATGTGATTATGATTATGAAATATGTGATATTAGTTATGAACAAAATGGTGTTGGTTATGAGATGTGGTTATGAAATATGTGATATTAGTTATGAATAAAATGGTGTTGGTTATGAGATGTAGTTATAGCTAAGTTATGATCAATTTGATTATAGTTATGAAGAAATATGATTTTAGCTCATAACTATAAAAAGTGACCTGTTTAGCAGGTCACTTTTAATGATGTGGCTCAATCCTAACCATTGATTTTGTATGTACCGTACATTTTTTATACAAAATGTACTATAGACTTTCCCTGCAATGTTAGGGATTCATGAGGTTGTTGAAGAGATTATTGAATCATTTCCTGAAGATGTTTGGATAGTGGATTGAGATAATCATAACATATCTCAAGTAGCAATTCTGTACCGTTGTGAAAATGTTTTCAACTTCATATATCAAATGAGTGGGTATAAACAAATTGTGATGCAAAAGAGGGATAGTAATTGGGACTCTATGCTGCACTTGGTTGGACAAGTAGCACCTCATGACAAACTCAATCTTGTTCCCGGTGCAGCTTTGCAAATGCAACGTGAGTTACAATGGTTTAAGGTAATAAATACATTCCATTCTAATATTCCATTAATTATTTATTTACAATAATGCTATGGTAATCAAACTTGGGAATATATTCCACAATTTCTAATCTATCGCTATCATACAGGAAGTGGAGAAATTATTAGTAAATCCCTATTTCAAAGTGTTTACGAACAAAAATGGTGAAATTCCTTCAACGATATTTACTAGCGAACACAAATTTTTAGTTGCGGAAGGAGAAAAATGGATGAAAGACACTGCAAACTCCTGCACAATAGCTGCAACACTTATTGCCACCATAGGATTTGCAGCTGTAATCATTGTTCCAGGTGGCAACGATGGCACAATTGGCCTCCCAATTTTCTCAAAAGAAAAGGCATTTATTGTCTATATCGTTTCAGATGAAATCTCCCTATTCACATCCACCACTTCTCTATTGATGTTCTTGTCCATTCTCACTTCTTGCTATGCAGAAGGAGATTTTCTTTATGTTTTGCCTAAGAGGTTGATAATCGGCCTTGTTACCCTGTTCCTCTCCATAACAACGATGATCGTAGCATTTAGTTCCACACTTTATCTTGTGTTTGGCCACAATAAGGCATGGATACTTATTCCAGTGACTGAATTAGCATGTCTACCAATCACTTCTTTTGTGTCCTTACAGTTTGCCCTCCTTGTGGATCTCATCTCTTCAACATATGGTCGTGGCATTTTCGGCAAGCAAAGTGATCGGCTTTTTTATTAGTTAGCATCAACAAGAAGGTGAAGAATTCCAAGAATGTATCATATTTGGTTTTTGCAATCAAAACTCATTGATGTATGAAAATTCTCTGTTTTGTTCATATATCATTACTCTATAAAAACTACTATGTAATTTGCAACTCATGTTCAAGGTTGACGTATGTTATAAGTGGATCTATTGCTACTTTTTTACATTCGTGTCTAAACTACTAGAATTGAATCCATAAAACAATGTCAATCTATGTTTCCTTATGCTGTGTTTATTATGAATTTGAATAGAAATTTGAAAAGAGAAAGGGAAATAAAAGAAATAATAATTTGTATTTTATTGACAATCAATGTTTCCATTCTATTTTTAAATCTCTACCCAAATTTATAATTCACCAGGCTTAGTGGCAATCTAACTACAACTACATTATTGGTTGGCTATCAAGGTTAATAGATGGCTTGATACATAGCCTCATAAATTTGAAAATTATTTGTTTTTTATTTATTTTTTGGCTAGAATTCAAAGAATTTTTCCAAAGAATATATTGCAATACAATAGTTTCATCAGAAGTTGAACTTTTCTATACACTAAACACATAACTTGACATAGAGAGTAATGTAACATCTCTGTAGATGGATAAACAAATATTAATGTTCAACAAATATTTTACAGAACAATTTACTAATAAATAAATAAATAAAGGAAAAGTATTTACAAACATAACATAATGCAGAGACCAACTGTACAGTGTCACCATCATCACTTGCCACCCAATCGGCAAATAAAAACATCTAATACAATTGAGTTTTAAATCATAACTGGAAAACTAAATAATGCAGCAAATAAATTGAAAATTACAAAAAAATATATTAAGAATTCAATACCTTCATCACAAATTAATCAGATTTGAAGAAAGGTCATCCAAGTGCCCTCTCAATGTGTCCTGCTATACAGTGGTGGTTGTTGTTGTTGTTTTTTTTTTTTTTTTTCAGTCTCCAAAGTGGAAAAACACATAAAATAAATCCTTTATTATTATTATTATTATTAACTTTCAAGTAATATCATCATTCATCAGCTAAAAGACGTAGCATTTTTTAATACAGAGATAGATTTACTTTTTTTCATCAAAACTTTTTTTAAAACTAAACACATACATTGATTATAGTGATAGATAAACAAATATTAATGTTCAAACAATATTTACAAAACAATTGAGTAATAAAAAAAAATATTTACATGTCACTAAATAATCACTGGTGTCATCATCATTACTTGCCACCCAATCTGGAAAAAAAAAACAAAAAAATCTAATACAATTGCGTTTCAAATCATAACAAGAAAGCTAAATAATGTAGCCAACAATTGAAAAATTACAAAATTTATTAAGAATGCAATACCTTCATCACAAATTAGTCAGATTTGAAGAAAGGTCCTCCAAGTGCCCTCTCAATTGCAAAGCAAACCTATGTTTCCTGTTGTACAGTTGTTTTTTCATTAGCAAAAGACAAACTTAAAGTAGCATCTTTGAATAAGAGCAATTATTTGTACACTCCAACCAGCAAGAAAACAATCCCATGAATCCTGCCTCCCTTGGTAGTGTGACGTCCCTTTCCCGTCTTTGTAATACTCTTAAAAACTCATCTGACCTCAAACTTTGTTGGCACATAAATTTCAATTAAATTTATGACATGTATAGAGCTTATGATAGGTAATCACTTCCTAAAAAGAATCCATTGAAGTGCATAAATAAAACAACGTCGTATCTCAAGACGTCATTCAAAATGCTCAAGTGACACGTGGAGCCTGCGAAAGATGACACCTGTAGAGCCTATAACAAGGACACCACACAGGATGAAACCCCAAAGATCAATCCGGTTAATAAGATATACGATTAATCAGATGGCGCTATTATTCAAAATTCAAATGGCGCTATCATTCAATTTGAAATTCAAATTGAAGATGAAGCATTCCTATCACCTGATGGCCTTCCATAAATATGAGGACCATCACACAAGACGCGGGATCAGAAAATCAGAAGTGAAAAGATCAGAGAGAGAGAGAAAGAAATTGAGAGCTAAAGAAATCGTTGCAAGAAAGAAGAAGAGAAGCCTAAAAAACTCAAGAGCCTACGCTAATGGCGATGCATAGGTAAAGGGTTCCAAACCCAAGAATTGTATTTTGTATTCGAGGGTTCAAAACCCATAACAATTTCAATAAAATATTTATTTTTCTTAAATTGTCTTTTGTTTATTTTGTTCTTCATTAATCGGAGGTTTCATTTGTATAAAATGTGTAATTAACGATCTGAAATACAGATCGGAAATAAGAACCTGCTATTCAAATAATCAACACTGTTTAGTCCAAAAACTAAATAGTGGACATTTGTAACATAAATTTTGAAATGTGTTGAAACACTTCATGTTTTAAAATTTGTGTCTACAAATTCTGGCACGCCCAGTGGGACCATGTTTCTCCTTCCATCTTTTGAAGAACAAAAAAAAAATATATATATATATATATATAGTTGAAACTTACTGACGTATTCTTTTGCTATAGGAATGTTGAAGCAACTGTCAGGAGACAAACCTACACTCTAGTGGTTCTAAAATCACCAAAGGTGGATATAGCACCCATCATCCAAGGGGCTCCGGAGCGAATGCTCTTGGCTGTCCCAAAGGTAGAGCCAATGAAATCCTAGAAAGATGCACTTCTTTCCCCTGCCACCCAAGGGGCTTCGGAGCGAAAGCTCTTGGCTGTCCCGAAGGTAACTGGTGTGACAAAGAAAGTCACACTTCTCCAGAAAGCTGAAAGTTTGAGAAAGATTACTGAAGATTATGTGAAAGCGTCAAAGCAGTACGCAATCGTGAGGGCCACAGCCAGAACGAAGAGCTTTCTAATTCAGGCAAATAAGGCTAATCAGTTTGCAACTACGACTTTTGTTGTAGCTTCAACGGGGGGAACAAAAAATGTTACGGCTCAACTACTTAAAAAGGTAGAAGACTCCATTAAAATGGTGGAGTCTTCCCGGAAGAAAGCCTCTGCTGAAAACATGGCCATCATTAGGGCCATTGGGAGGAGGGTAATGACCCAAACTCCTGTTGATGGAAAAAAGGCCCCTGTTGTTGAAAAAATAGTTTTGGCCTACGAACCGATAGTTCTGTTCAGAGCACAAAATCGGTCAAACCAAATCTCAGTCAACTCTTAGGAGCCAAAGGAACACCCGTTGTCCCGACAGAATAAGGAACACCCGTTAGCCCGACAAGGTTCGAATAAGGAACACCTATTGGCCCAACGGGATTTGAACAACATCAATTGGTCCACTCCAAAAATGTAGGGACTATTTTGAAAATTCATGAGGAATTTACGAAAACACAAATGGTTCCTTCTATGCCCCTAGGGGCTCGACTTGATATGTCATCCGGTCCAGTTTTGAAAAAGACAAAAGCGAAGAGGAAATAAGGCCTTAAAGAAACTGGAACTAAGAACAGTGACAACAAATGTTATTGGAGCTATTGAAAGGGCTCTCTCGAAAGATGAACACCAAAAACAAATTGAAAGTCCTGTCTTTGTTGGAAAATCCAAGGTGGAGGAGGGTAAGCAACCCTTGGGAAATATTTCTACTTTGGTTGAACTATCTATGGAGGAAATAAGAAAAGGGCCTGTAACAAAGTCCATAACCTGTCAGGCTCAAAACAAAGCATCGCAGGCAGATGCTTCAAATATGAGTAATGTTGTGGGGGTTGATAATCCTTTATATGAACAAGATGATTCTATCTCATTTGTTCCAACGGATATTGGAAACAATGAATTGAGAGATATCAACAAAGTCACAGTTATGATGACTGAGGTTGAAAAAGAAGGTGAAAATTCGCAAGTCCAACAAGACCAAGGTCTCAAGGAAAAAGTGGTGGCCCTACAAGAACAACTTGAGAGAAGAGAACGGGAAATGGCTGCTCTGTTGGAGCAAATGCAACAGTTATAGGCCCAAATGACAGGACCAGGATGTGCACCCAAACAAATGACACAACCTGTTGTAGGGACATCTGTAGGCATACAAAGTACACTAGTCCCAGGGGACAATGGTCCTTGTTACTCTGATCTAACCAGTGGTGGTATGAATCCAATGCTCATGGACATGATTGATGATATGGTGAGGAGACAAGTAAAGAAAGTCAAAGAAAAAGATGATGAGAACTTTAGAATAATTACCTTACCCAGCATGGGTAGATGCTGTTCCATTCCCTTCTGGTTTTTCCCAACCAGATTTCAAAATGTTTGATGGAACAGGATATCCAAGACAACATGTGGCTCATTTTCTTTCAAGGTGTGGGCCAACAGCCCATAATGAGGCCCTGTGTCTGCAGCTATTTGTTCAGTCACTTGAAAGTTCTGCATTTACTTGGTATGCTAACCTTCTTGAGGGATCAATCCTAAATTGGGATTCCACGGTGAAGGAGTTCCTTAAACAGTTCTGCAACACACAAAGGCAAGTTGGAGTACCAGAATTGATTAAGACTAAGCAACGTGACAATGAGTCTGTTACAGATTTCATTGCAAGATGGTGAGCTTTGACATTTGCTTGTCCTCAAAAGTTTACGCAATTAGAGTTAATTCGGATGTGCCTTAACAACTTCCGACATGAGCTCTCTACGGCTCTTATGGCCCAAACTTTTGAAGGATTTAATGATCTATGCACTAAAGCTCATGATATGGAGCTCTATCTAGCTAAACGAAGGAGGCCTAGGGCCGTTGAAAGGGTTGAGTCCTCAACTGCAGGTACAATCGAAACCAGAAAGAAGGGTCCTGTTGTAGTAGGGGCTAAAAAACCCAAGGAATTTAAAAAGGTGAAAGAGAGGTCAGAGAAGAAATATTCTTTCATGGATGATCTAGTTGAAGACCTATTTGAAGATCTGTTGGAGCAAAAGTTGATTGCTCTCCCTGAGGTGAAAAGACCACATGAGGTAGGAAAGACCAACGATCCAAAGTATTACCCCTACCATCGTTTGATTAGCCAT